CCCCACAGCGCAGCTGTCCTGCTCACAGATGGAGGCCCAACACTGACCAGTGGCCTGCCGGCCCCCACCTGCAGCCCCGGCCTCACCTTCTGCTCCCGCAGCTTGTAGGCGACCTGGCTGGGCCCGTCGCTGGGCCGCACCTGGTTGTGGGGCAGGTGTTCCAGCCAGGAGCTCAGGTTGTCCCTGCAGGTCCTGAACTGCTGGCACGTGAGACTGGCGTCCTGCAGGGTCTTCTCCCTGCAGGGGGACGAGGCGGGCGCAGCGGTGGGAGCCGCTCTCGGGGGCCAGGGAGGGGCCTGGTGGCCCTGCTGGGGCTGGGCATCCGGAGATGGCGCCCCTCAGACCCCCGGGCGGTGCTGTCACGAGCAGGGAGGGAGCTGGGCCCCAGGCAGGCGGTCACCAGCTCAGGGCCACGCGCTGGCCCGTCGCCCCCCGCCGGCCCAGCCACTCACCGCAACTCCAGCTGGTCGCCCACGGCGTGGTAGCGGTCGGTGAGGGCCCGCACCTGGCGCTGCTGGTGCGGCAGGTCCGGGCAGAACTCCTGGAAGTGGCTCTGCAGGGCCCCGCACGCGTGTTCCGTGGCCTTCAGCTCTCGGTGCAGACCCAGCACGCAGCCCTGCTGCTGCAGCAGCTCCCTCCGCTGGCGCTGCGGCGAGGGACAGCACCATGCACCCCAGAGGTTTGGTCAGGCCCTGGCCCCGGCCCGCAGCTGGCCTGGTCACTCACCTGCAGCTCCCCGATCTTCTCCTGCAGGGCTCCGGGGGCAGCCGAGATGGGGGGCTCCTGCACCAGGGCGGACTCGAAGCCGCGGATGACCTTGTCGGCCTCGCGGATCTGCTGCTCCAGCCCCAGGGCGGCCTTGGCTCTGCCAGGAGGAGGCTGAGGGTCGGAGGCCGCTGGGCCGCCCTGGGCCACGCCCACCTGGCCGGCGCACCCCAGCACTCACTTCTCCCCGTAGAGGTCGCACAGAGCCTGCACGTCGCTGTACTTGTTCTTGACCTCGGTGAGGGCCACCGGCAGGTGCAGGACGGCGGAGCCCGCGGGCCGGGTGGACAGGAACGCCTCGCACTCGCGCTGGGCGGCCTCCTTCTCTGCTCCCAGGTGCTGCAACCGCTGGACCAGGTCCTGGGCCGGGCGGGGCGGGGTCAGCTCTCTGGTCTGGGTGGGTGGCTGCACCCAGTCCTCCTGCGGGTCAACCCTGCTCTGCCCAGAGGCCTGGGTAGATGCCCCGACTCAGGCCAGAGAGCAGGGGACAGCCTGGCCCCGGGGTTCCTGTGGGCCTGCCTCCGGCAGCCCAGCCGCTGCGCCCCAGTGGCCTCTTCTGCAGAATGATGGGTGGGTGGGCCGCGAAACGAGGCCCTGAGTGTCAGGAAGCTGGCCAGTCACCTACTGCGCTTCCATGTCACTGCCCTGGTCAGCACAAAGCCCGCGGTCCTGGCCCTGTGGCTCGGGCTCAGGCAGCCGCGTCCCAGTCCGTCCACTTGGGGTCACTGTGTTTGCCCCCTTATCACTCTCCCGGGCCCTAAGTGTCCTGGCTGTGTCCCGACCCTCCTAACTGGACTCCCGCAGAACCCCAGCGCCCTCCGTGGGCAGATGTTCGGACTTCAACCGGGAGCTTTCTTTTTTAAGATTTATTTATTTGTGCATACGGAACTGGGGTACAGGCCAGAGGAGCAGGGGTGGTGAGAGGCTTCAGCAGAAACAGTGCGGAGCCGAGCAGGCCGACTGACGAGGCACACTGCTGAGGGGAGCTGCTGGCGGTCAGGAGGGGTCTGCCGCTGTACGTCCCCTCCGGGGCGGGGATCGGACGCGCACTGAGGCGGCTGCGGCTGCGTCCCAACCCGCTGCGCCCCCGGGGAGAGTCCCAATCTGGACCTCTGTGACATCAAGGGCCAGTTTGGGGGCTCTGAGGGCCCCAGAGACTGTGATCTGGGTGGCTCAGGGGCAGCTCGGGCCGCTCCTGCCGTCAGGTGGGGTGTAGGGGCCCAGCTGGGGCCCTCCCTGGGGCGCAGGGGTTACAGCGCAGCGCTGGGATGCTGTCAGTCAGCAGCCGCTGCAGCACCAGTCCGATCCCCGCCCCTGGGGGAGGGACCCCCAGGGCGCAGCAGACCCCTCCTGTCTCCCCGCTGCTCCCTCCAGCGGGTTTCGGTAGATCTGCCTGCTCTGCTCCCCGCTCTGTCTCTGGTGAAGCCCCTCCCCCCTGCACCTCTGGTCTGTACCCCACTTCTATATCATAAATTAATAAATATTCTAAAAAAGAAAACAAAGGCCCAGCCTGCCCGGCTCCAGCACACGGGCCAGCCCCAGTACCTGTGGGTCCACACCTGCCTCCCCGCCCCATGGGGAGCCCACGAGGCTCCCTAGTAACCGCCCCGCGACCTCATCTCCATCTCAAGGCCGGCCCCCCGGGACCCAGGCTGCACGTGAACCCCGGACATTCATCCTCCTCCTGGATCCCCACCCTGACCAGTGACCCAGCTATGGGACCAGCTGGGGAGGGTCCCCGTGGGAGGGTCCCCCCCAAAAGTGAAACGCGGTCCGTGAAGAGCTGCGGGACATGGTGGAAGGAAAGGACCGAGGACCGCCCCAGGGGTCGCGCCCACGAGGACGCCCGCAGAGCCAGCGGCTAAAGCCAACCGCACGGTGTCGGCGCATGGCTCGGAAGCACAGCCAGGCGTGGGGCCGGGCGGCCTCCTGGCGCCCCTCCGGAGGGGGCCTCTGGGCACGTCTGCGCAGGCTGGAGCCCAGTGGGTGTGTCCACACTCCTCCCCTCCCCCAGCCTGCCCAGCCTCCCGAGCCAGGGGAATCACCCCAAGATGCTTCAGGTCCTCCTGGGGACCCTCACTGCGACACCCCGGGTTTGGGGTACAGGGCCTGACTCTGGGCGCTGCCCGGGCTGGCGCCTCCCTGGGCTCTCCCACTTCTCCCTCGGGACAAGCAGGAGTGCTGGCCATTCTTACGTCCGTTTTCGGGCAGGGACCCCGAGATTCAGAGAGGTTGATGAACGCCCAAGGCCACACAGCTGGCGGTGGCGACCCGCCCAGGACCTCCCGCCACCCGTCCCGGGGGCCGCGGCTGTGCCCGCCCCTGCCGGCCCCGCTCGCCCACCTTGCGGCTCTGCACGCGGCCCTCCAGGTCCTCCACGGGCGAGGTGCGGCTCAGCGGGGCCCGCACCCAGCCCAGCACCCGCTTCTCGGCCTCTCCCAGGTCCCGGCGCAGCCTGCTCATCTGTGTCAAGAGCTGCTGGGCCTGTGGGTCGGTGGGGGCTGCACCAGTCGCACCTGGGGGCCAGGGGACCCGTGAGTGTCCAGGGCCTGCTCGGGTCCGCCTGGGGGCGTCCCCACGTGCCCAGAGAGGCCCTGCGGGGGACGCGGGGGAGGGCATGCGGGGGGGCTGCCAGCAAGGGCCAAAGCAGGACTCCCCTTCTTCAGCGTTAGCACCCCCTCCCTGGCCGGCCCCGGTACCCTGCTGGCCAGGCCGCTGGGGCTCCACAGCACTGGGTGTCAGGCGGCTCCTGGCGGCGGCCAGTTTCTGCTTCAGGGCCTGCAGCTCCGAGGCCAGCCTGGGAGGACGAGGGGGTCAGAGAAGCGGGGCCCCCTCTCCCTCCCTGCCCCACCGGTAACCACAAAGGCCAGCGAGCGGCAGGGTCCCCGGCCAGGCCTGAGCTCCTGCTGCCCCCGGAGCCCCGGCCACTCACGCGGAGGCCCTGGCCAGGGCGTCGGGGTCCGGCCCTGGGATGCAGAAGCAGGCAGCGGGGGCGCGCTTGCTCTCGCCGCCGGGGCACTGCACCACCCAGGTGTGTGGGTCACTGTTGTCCATCAGCAGGTACTTCTCGCCCCGCAGCAGCTGCACCTGGGGGCGTGGGCCGGTGAGGCCGAGATGGGCCGGGGCTGGGGGCGCTGGGTAGGGCCTCGGAGGACCAGGGCTGGGGGCGGGACCTGGGCTTGGGGGGCTGGGGGCGGGGCGTCCCTACCTCTCCTGAGTCCCAGTCACAGATACTGTCCACCTGCAGCGCCTTCTGGGGCGGGTTCCTGCGCTGGGGCAGAGGCGCCACGTCCCGGCTCCACCGCTGCAGGTCCCCAATGGTCCTCTCGGCCACGGCCAGCTGCTTCTCCTCGGCCTGAGGGGAGCCAGGCAATGGGGGCTCAGGTCAGGCCCATCTGCATCCCGAGGGACCAGGAGTCGGCCTTAGGCAAAGGCAGGTTCAAAACCAGCCCAGAGAGAGAACGCTTCCCTGGGGGCCAGGCTCCTGGGCTCTGCTGGCTGCGGGTGGGGCTCCCAGGCCAGCCTGGCCCCCAGGGCGGGCCCGGAGGGGCCTCGGAGTCCTCTCAGGGCACATGAGGTCCAGAGAAAAGGCAGCCTCCTGCTGGAGCAGACCCCCGTCTCCCCTCCCCTGCTCCCCAGGCCTGGCCAGGAGAGGGCGGGTGCGAGGGGCCTCACCTCCAGCTGACACAGCAGCTCAGTGACGGTGCCTGGCGCGCACCCAGGGCCGGGGCTGTACTGGGTGTTGAGGCTGGAGCTGAGCTTCGCCAGGGTCTGACTGACCGAGTCCGCGTCCTCCTGGAACTGAGGGGACCGGCGGTCACCGGCAGCCCGGGCCCACGTCCGCCAGCCGGCTGGGCGGCCTGTCCCCCGCAGCGGGGCCTGTCCACTGGCGTCTCGGCAAAGGGCACTTGGGTTTCCTGAACTTAATTTCTTTTAGAGCCGAGTCCTTCCTCATGCTCCCCGCCGGGCAGCGGGGTCCCCGCCTGGGCCCGGCGCGGCTGCCCAGGCCCCTGGCAGCACTCGCCCAGCCAGCGCAGGAGCTGGGGTGCGGTTAGAGAGCCACTGGGGTGGGGTGCCCATCTGTTCTCGGAGCTGGGGCCGGCTGATGCAGTCAGGGACGGTGGGCAAGCGCCTTCCGCCGCAGAGACTCG